TTGTAATGCGTTCAAACGTACGTGTCCACACATCGCGTATAACGATCGTAACGGTTGGTGCAAAGATTCGCTTCAGATCCGTCAAGGATTCTCGCACAAACGATAGAAATGTGATGAAAATTGATACAATATCGATGGTGTACCAGAAATTAAATGTTTTTTTTTATTTATTGTATTCATCGATTTCAGATTCACGAAATGTCATCTCAAAACACTTATCTTGTTCGACGTTAAAATTTTGACGACTATTCCGTTAGTAATTAGTGTACGGTCATTTCATTCATATTTAATAATCTTTAAGTGCATTCTCATATAATCTGTCCTGCATTAGAATCCGGTTGACCGGTGCCTTTTAAATACTGCAGTGGCACCACAGTAACTGAGCTTCCGTCGTAGATATATCTATGACTGATGCACGCACGCGTAAGCGTACAATATAATTTATAAATGTTTAATTTAATTTTAATTTTGTAGTCAAAGAGCACTTTTTACACATTTTAATATAAAACATAAAAAAAATGAAAAATTGACTGGTCCGTATGAGATCGTGAGAACATAGCACTTGTTTCTAATTTATGCCCGATGCCCTTGATACTGTTGAAAACACTTAAAATCATAGACTTATGAAAATATGGACTACACGTTCCCTATCCATCGATATGTATTTTGAAATATCAACATGAAGTGAGACGGATAGACTACATTTACACTTCACCTGGAAGAAAAAATACACCAATCATGGACATAACCAAGGCTGGGCAATTTATTGATATTTTTTAACTCAGTTAAGTTATGTTAATTGAGTTAATGTGCATTTAAGTTAATTCACATGATAATTACATCAATTAAGTTAAAAATTTAGTTAAAAAATATCGTTAAGTTAACTAAACTTGAATTAATAACTGAGTTAAGTTAATTACAAAAAAAAAAATGTACATTAAGTGCTAATATAAGTGATGTATATTAATAATTTACAACAGATCTTAATTAAATTTAATGTTAATGGAGAAACAGAAAAATCTTATTTAAGAATATTTTTTATTGAACTCTTTTTTTTAGTAGAGTAGAAAAATATATGTTTCTTTATTGAGATTGTTTTTAGGCACTCAAAAATCGAATTTCCGATAATTTATACATTAGTATTGATGTAATCAGCCAATGAATAATTGAATAATTTTTAGGTGATCTGCTTATTTTATAGTAAAATATTAAATTAGGTTTGATCGTTTTGAAATGTCTCCTGTATTAGGTATTTTAAAGAAAAAATAAGGGAAATATGATATATTTTATATATATAGTATTGGCATATTTGGCATATAGTTGATTTTTTTTGAGTTATTACCGCATATTATTTTATCTTAATTCAGCGAAATCGTTTTTTGTAGAAGTCAAAAAAAAAAATTAGATCATAAATGTTTGAATTCATTCTTATTTACTTTTCCGAACTTGTTTATAAAATCTTAGTATTTTATCAATATTTTTATTTTATAATAACGATCAATTTTATAAGTTAAAAGCAATACCGCGAAAACAATGTTATTGCACACCACTACCACTCTTCTCTTATTGACGTGTCTATTATAATCTATCTATTTTCGTCGCAACGTTTATTCATTAATTATAATTTTAATAAAACGTAATCGAAGAAAAATTATAACTTTTAAAAATATAAATGGATAATTCTTATTATTTTAAAAAATCCTTTAACATTTTTTTTTCATGCATAGTTAAAGATTTTTAATGCATATTTGATCAAATGTTAGTGCATAATTGCATGCTTATTTGTGCGTTTTTTAGTGCATGAACTTACGATTCCTGATTATAACTGTATAGTGTATACTGTATAACAATTTTTTGTATACTGCATACTAAAATAATACAAACAAATAAAAAAATTCGAATTTTTCGAACATAAACATCTATGTTTAATAGATTAATCGAAAACAAATTATCAATGTTGAAATATCGATATATCGACCCAGAATATCGATGTTTTTTGCCCATCTCTAGTACCAATGATCATTCGTAACATCACAGTCAATGTTGAATGTAATGAATTGAGCTTTTTGTCGGGTCCATACTCAGTGAAGAATCAAATAAAACACAAGCGTAATTTTTAAAACACACGTGTTAAAAAAAGAACTACACAAAACTCGATTGTAAATGAATCCGGCATTAGAATAAAAATATTAAGGATTCGCCTGATTTAAATATTACCATACATTTTACTTGTTAATTTTGAGCCTGAAATAAAGAAAAAATTTGAGTCCCCCCCCCCTTTACCCTAAAAGTAAGTCTTAATACGCCCCTAAACCTATACTACATTAAATGCGTGTAAGTATCGATAATAATGGTTATATGATTGTACATCTAGTAATAGATCCATCAGTGACTTTCGGATTTAGTTCTATACATGTTATATTATCATAATAATGTTAACTATATATATCTATATATATTAGGTAAGTTTTGGGTACACAATAATTTTTGATAGACATCTTATATTGAAACCGTTTTGCATTTCTCACCGAGAAAGCAATTTAAATAAATTATTATACTTAAACTAACAACCTAGGTTTTAATCGTATTCAATTGCATGTTATTTATAATCATCGAATATATTATGTGCACCATAATATATATTACCATAATAGAATTATCGTTAAAATGTACAGTGAATCGTTTTGTTTTATTCGTGGATAAATGATTTATTTCAAAAAACATTGTTATATAATTTATTTTTTAAATTACAAATTTTTCTTCGAATTCGGACATTAAATCGGTCACATTATGTTGATAACTATAACACACAATTTGTTTCTAATTCATCTATTATTACGGTCGAAAATAAAAATCTCGTTATAATGGATAATATTTCACCACTTGGTTCTATTATTATATATTATTATGTAAGATGACAGGAAAATTACCAAAATCTTATTGTATTGAACCAGCAACTTACATAAAAATAACTTTTCAAATTTTTCAAATGACTGAACATTTATTTACAGTTATTTATGTGCTCTTATAATAATAATTATAAATACCATACATAACACATATAATGGACTAAAACTGTTATTATTTAGAATGTTTAATGGCAATTCAGTGTCATTTTATGTAATCACATATATGTTTGGTTACCATTACTAAAGGTTTTACTAATGCATAGGCTTCTATTAACAATGATATTTAATTTATGTTCATTGGTAATTGCAATTCCGGTTATGGCCATATAGTGATTAATACTAGAACAACGAGCTAATATTAAATCAGCATTACTGTGAAAAAAACAACTAATAATTATTATTAATCTATTTTTGATTTACGAATTAAGTCAAGTTCAATTTGCATGTATTATTACTGTAAGGTAAATGTTTTACAAAGACATCATGTGCAATCGATCATTTTTCATTAACTTGATGATTTTATTTTAAGTGATAAATTGCCTTTTTACCTATTTATTCACTACATTTTATTGCATTATTATTTTATATGAGTATCGTACGGGGCGGGAGCGTTTCTGTCGGTATTTTTCTCATTTCTCGTATTTAGACCACATACACACACAAGAAAAAACGTGATGGCCCGTCCTATGAATTATGCAAATATATTCAATTGATTTTGTATAAGTATAGTTGGAGCTTGAGTTTGATATAATCATATATTTAATCATTCAACTACGGGTCCAAACTAATTTCTTACTTATTCAGTAATTATTGCCACTGACATCTGTCTACTATGTGTGTAAACCGTTAAGTATAAATTAAATAAGTTATCATTGAGATTTCACGGGTTTGATGTATATTTTAACCGTAAAATATTTAATATCGTGCCAATATAATAAAAACATATAAATATACAACTTAAACGAAACAACATTCGCAGTTGTAATTGCAATAGAAAATAATGTTACTCTCGTCGACATTATAATATTGTGGCTGTGTATCCTCAAAATACATGTTTTCCATGAAAGGGGTAGTGTTTTGTATATTTTTTAATGAATTTGATCGCATTGACCGGTGAGGGGGGGGATGTGTCAGCGTAATGGTTTAATATTATTCAGGATATGATATCATATGGCTTATATCATATTATTGAAAGTATCAACGGTGCGTATATTAATGAACAGTAGATCATGTTTCATCATATTAGTATCTTTAGCCTTTACCCAAAGGAGAACAATATAAATAAACGTAAATTAATGTTGACGTGTAATTTTAAAGTAACTATGTTAAGCTTTTGTTTCTCTGACACAGAGATCGGTTTTCGGTGGAAGTTAAAAGCTGCGCACGCACTGTATTTTTTTCCTTTTATTTTTTTTTTTCTCACCAACACACAGGCACACATAGTATAATATAAGTGTACATATTATAAATTATTTTATGAAAATGAATGTGATTTTTTTTTTTTAGCAATAATGTAAAATAAAACAATCAGTCTTACTTTATTCCATTTCTTTTTTTCTTTTTTTTTGATAAATTGTCTTGAAAAAACTCCGTACCAAACTTCTTATATGGTCATGTTGAACGAGAAAGTATTCGATGGCCCGGAAATGTTTTTTAAACAAAGTAAAATATAGTTTTTAGTCGTATTTGAAACCATAAAAAGCTAAGAAAAATGTTATTTTATTGAATTTATTTAACGTAACGTAGGTATAATGGACAGATACCTGATAAAATTAAAAAAAAAAAAAAAATGAAACAATATTTTATTTAAAGATAGGTTTAAATTAGTATGATTTTAAATTACAAATATCACGTGATCAGATTCACTCGATGTGTTAATTGATTATAAAATAATGCGAGATGTGTACAATTATACGGCACAATAAATTTCTATATACGTTCGTACCGTATTGTATTGTGTGCACAAATAATTGGTTTCAGGTGGACTCCATTGCGTCTGCAAGGGATGTCTTCGAAACACCATTTGATATCGATCACTGACACCGAGTACATAGTATACAGTCGTACTCATACATTATGCATTATTTCCAGGGCCGAAATATTGGGGCGTTTTGAACCCTCTGTGGAAGTTATGCTCGATTGGCAAACGACAGTCTCCGATCGACATCGATCCGGATAAGCTGCTGTTCGATCCGTTTTTAAAAAATCTTCATATTGACAAGGACAAAGTAAGATACTAAACTTATGTTATATGTACACAGTTTTTGTATGTGCTCCTCAATTTAGCAGCAATATCGCATATATTTGACGGGGTTATTATTATTATTTTTTTTTTTTATATATTTATATTCAAATACATTATTTATACATATATATTCGAGTATGATGTAGAGATTGACGGAAAAATAATAAAATCTGTCTAGAATCGGGGTTTTCGAGATGTACACATTTCATATAAATTTATATCGGTGTATAAAGCAGTACGTAATACGTACGCACGCATATTATATTATTTTATTTTTTTTTATGAAAAATGGATTTCGAAACGGAAAGCAATATGTCAGTGTATATAGAACCTGTCTTGATAACTCTGCCGGCTATATTAATTTTGCTCTTTCCAGCGGGTTTTACACGTAATATACGTGATACATAAATATTTAGACGCCCCAAGAACACGTGCTTAGAAAAATAAATCCGAAAGATCGTGCAAAAATAATATAGGCATTACAAATGAAGTTAAACACCAGTACGGTTCGGAGTAATTATATATCATTAGATGGTGTATGCGATGTGAAATAATAATATGTATTACATTTTGCACTATGAATTGAATATTTGATTGGCATATTATGTTCCTAGGTCAGCGGTACGATTGAAAACACCGGGCAATCTTTAGTCTTCAGAGTAGATAAAGACTCGAAGTACGTTTTGAATATTACCGAGGGTCCTTTAACTTACCGTTACCAATTTCAAGAATTCTACATACATTTCGGCACCGATAATAATCTTGGGTCCGAACATAAAATTCAGGGTTACTCGTTTCCAGCTGAAGTAAGTATCTTTTTTTTTATCTTTATACATTTATCACTAATTATATACAAATATATATTGGCTAAATATTTGATGATTTGAAATCATTGACGAAACGAGACAATGAGTTTGGTCTAACGTTTATTAAGCTGGTAAAAATAATAATCATAATTGTGTATTCTTAAAAAATGCTCAGTAAACTTTATGTTACATTCATATGCACATTAAAAATGTTTAATAACGATCCATACAATAAATACACGGTTTGTTTGTACGATATATAAATTGGTGTAACAATAAGCGGATATAATATTCATACAACAAAATATGAAAACATTATAATCACGCGTATGCGCAAACGATCGCCAAACGAACGCGCTACGTACAATTCATTGACAGATACATTTTTATGTTATTCAATTGGACGCAAACTGATCTCTTTTCAATTTTAATATCTTAAATTTTAAGACGTGATGACACATTTTTTTTTCGTATTGTAAAAATACTGCATTCGATCATGTAGTAATATTCAACCGTCGCAATACATTGTCCACGTGTTAAACGATCAACAAGAAAATAATTATACTTAAAATAAATTATAATACGGGATTAAACGAATGTTATCCTTCGCGCATACATTATTTATTTGTTTTAACAATAATATAATTTGTGCAGATGAACGTTATAAGGTCACTATTACTTCAGTCAGCCAATTTGACGCTGTTCCCGCATTTCAATACTGGAAAACGGACGAAATGTTTAAGTTGATTTTCGAGTAAAATTTCTACGCGTTACCCTCCATTTGACAATCTGTCTGTTTTTGCTGTGCATTACTTTTTTCTCTTTCAAAAAAAATAAAGCTCGTAGATAATTACGTTTCATAGGCGTCGATGAGTCTACACGTAGCGCACAAGCTCTGACTACGTAATACAGTGTACTAGTTCTTTATCGCTGTTTCTTAAAAGTCCACGTTTTACACGTTTTATCGTTCGCCACATCCTTTCTTTACACAGAATCACATCATTCGCAACCCCTAGCGGATTCTGACCGCGAGTACGCCCACTTTTTATTAATGTAGTGCTTTAAATAAAATGTATAGAAATAAACCAGTTCAATTTGTATAATCAAATGTAATTAGTCTGGAAAAAGATAGGGAGAGGATAGAGAGGTAAATTAACAGTCTACGATTTTATTCTTTCCGTATACAGTATCCCGCTGCGCGCCGAACACGATAATTCGTATCATTCGATAAACGTCTCTTGGTAATTTCAAAAGTTCATGAAGTTGTTTCGATGCGAAAAAGTTATTCGACTAAAAATAAAATTCAAATTACGCGCATACAGTTTCATATAAAAAAAAAAAAATAGGAACCCGCGTGTTGGTAATTTATTAACTCTACGTATAAAACTTGTCTAGATAAACGGAATATACTGTGTGTGAATAAGTTTCTAAATTTTTTCATTAAAATTTTATCGCGTTCGGCGCATAAAAAACTTCCGTACAAACGGATTCGCCTCTCGTAGAATAGTAAGCGCAGCACGCCGGAAAAACACGCGTTATTATAGCGTCGCGGCTCAGGTTTTCTCGTTCGGCGGTGCGCCGATGACATGGAATCGCGATCTTTTCTATGAGTTCAGAATGGAAACTCGAACGACTTTTATGACGAGAATTTCCATTTTTGGTTAATTCGTCGAACTCGTGTCTCTTCTTCGATACTGTTTCGCGATCGCAACACGAATCGCGAACAATATCCTCTCGCGATGCTGTCTGAGACCGGAAGATGTTATTATGGAAACACACACGTTAATACGGTGTTCTTCATATCGGTTCGATGACGGAACGCGTACTCTATCTTGGCTGCAACACGATTGCGCATTTTTTTCTTTTTCAACCCGACTAATTGCACCACGATTGCGCAAAATATTTGCAACATGATTGCGCCCAGATCCCTTTTTACTTGATAAAATCGCAACACCTTTGCTCACTAAATTATATGTGTATATACTATGTATATTTACTTATGTGTAATATTAGTTGAATCAGAAAAGGAAAAATTGCGCAATCGTGTTGCACCGCTCATTCTTGGTCGGATTTACCCTTGGGTATCCACGGGTGTCCGTCGAAAGTGCAGTTCTAACCATCAGAGTTTGACCGCTCGTTTTGGATTAGCGATACTCGTTTTTCGGACGGAAAACTAAAAACGAAACTAAATCTAGTTCAGCGACTTTGAACGGTCGAGAGCACGAAACCTGACAATTGAGTCTTATGCTTAAACGTAGAACTTTAAACATGACATGTGTATTATATATACATTGTATTCGGAGTAGAAAAAAAATACTGAATGTTTTGTGTAACTCAATCTGATTTCATTTACTTGCTTTGTAAGTTTAAAAAATGTTTAACACAAAAACGAATTTAATACTAACGCATTGTTAAATGAATTAGTATTCTACTGCTGGAAAAAATGTTATACGTGAAACCTGCAGTATTCTACGCGGTGTTTTTTTCCTTCTCATATTTAATTCGACCATATGCGAATATGTTATATTGGAGTTTTGCAAATTTGTCGTTATTAAAACCATTACACCCTAGTGGTGATGGACTATTTTTTGGTAGATGGAACAAACACAAAATTTAACCATGCATCCTCTCAGTGATATCATGTTTAAATTCAGTAAGTACCTACTACTCAACTGCCTACTGGTGGTACTAAGTGCCAGTTTTTCAAAATTATATAGACCCAGTAGCCATCCACCTCTCTCAAATTTAGGTGATTTAAATGCACCAACCTCAGTACGTATTTGGCACCACTGTTGCACATATATGCATATACATCACGTTTATATTCTATTAGTGAGGATGCGATAGCGTTATGATTCCGTAAAATTTCAAAATTACAAATAGATATTATTAGATGTCATGAGAACGTAATGGTATAATGATAGATTGTTCGATGGATTTTAACTTCCTGAATGTCATTTCACACGGAAATCCGTCAAACGTGCATACATAAACATCTATGTGTATAATCATAAATATATATGTATATAGGTTAATAAATATGTGTGTGTGTGTGTGTGTAATACTATGCGTACATGTACGTCTAAACCGTACGCACATATATAATCGTTCGGATGTTTCCCTCTTCGTAAAATATTCCCTCGCATTGGAATAATTTTCCAATAGTCGTGCCGGAACTTATACAAATTCGATTTCTACGCGAGCGCATCACCGCCGTGTGGAATTTCGTTTCCGTATCCTGTAAAATCCAAACAATAAAAGCTACACGACAAAACGTATTGTAAAACCCGACTTTCGGAACGATGACGAGTTTTGAGCGATATTAGGGTATTGCATTTCTCCGTACTCTTTTTCTTTTTTACACACCAAAACAAATCGTATTCGACAAATCGCTGTAATAGTGCACTTGAAACGACAACGTATGCAATTAATTTCCCCATCCCTCCCCCCTATTATTTAACCATATTATCCGTTCGATTTAACATGATCGATGGTGTCGAAAAAAGAGTTTCTGTTTTTCTTAGTGCATTAAGTTGTAGTACATAATTACTCGTTGTGTACGATATTTATAATAATATTATTTCTCGATCGAGATATATGCTAAATACACTATTATATATATATATATATATATATCATAAAAAATGTGAAAACAAAAATGTTGAGTATAATTGAGATGTTCAGTATTGAAACTAGATAAGAGAAGACATCCGTCTCAGAATAGACTTACTCTTCTCACACATTCTCATTACAATGAAAAAAGAAAACACCCCTTTTTTGTACATATTGTGGGATCTTCCTCATGGTTAAACATATTTTAATTGAATGCAAAATCTACAACAAGGAAAGAGAACAACTCCAAATCTCAGATCACCTAGCAGAAATACTCAACCATGGACCCAACAACGTTTTCAAATTCATTCAGTTCCTAATAGAAACTCAACTAATAAATAAAGTGTAAATTATATATAGTATCCTAAAATATAATACATTCAATGGTCACAGATCTTGCGGATAGATCATTTAATAAAATAAAAAAAGAAGGAATTTTCAAAACTTTTTATTTATTAAATTATCACGTTATGATTCATTATATGTTAAAGTAATGAGCATCAAATTAGGTGATAACGAACTTGAATTGCGTAAAAAAAAAATTGAGATTGATTTAAAAATTACTTAAATAATCGAACACGTGTTTTTTTTAACATTTTTCCATTTAAATAAAATGTTATTCATCACAATAAACTATATTATTTTTCTAGTTATTGATACATGTAATAAATGTAACGTTGTTTTCAACTTCCAATGTTTATTTCAAAACCACCTATAAAGTCAGATTCAAAATCAGTCATGCATAAAAATACTAACCATACTGTCGGTTTCGGAAACAGCTTGAATTCAAACATAATCAAACCGACTATAACAAAATTGTAAATCTATATAACTCTTATAATATTATTTTTGTAAAATATATTTTCACATACTATTTTTATGTAATCCAAAATATTGATTTCATATTGATTAGTGTACATCGTAGAGTAAAATTCTAACCTCATTTTTATTTATTTTTTTGTATATTATAAATTACGAAAATTGGTCCTTACTGGTGTTGAAACTAGACGCCTCGATTAGACATATTTGTTTTTACATAATTAATAATTAAAAATGTTAATTATTAACAATTATATTATAATATATAATTATTTATAATTTATAAATATTGCACAGATACTATTTTATTGATTATTCAGATCCTTTGTTCTTAACATGTTAAAATTATCTATATAATATAATTTTATTTTACGTGAATACATGAAAACGTGTACACGTGAAATAAGAACCATCATGTTAAGCAATAATAAATATTACTCGAAGAATAAATCTATTTTATTTACATAAAAAATAAATAAAAAATAATAAGTAATTAAAGTAAATTATGAGTAACTGCAGTAGTTAACTTTTTTTTACTCCATTAATAGTGTTAAATGTATACTACACAG